GGGATCAAGCCATTCGTAGTTCATCATTCACTACCTATCTACATTTACCATAGTATGTTCAAGCCGAAAGATATAACACTCCTCAATCAATCATTAGAACTTGACAAGTGTGGAGGTACTAGATTCAGGGCTACATAACAATCCAATATGACAATCAACATTTCCACTTCATCCATCATATAAATCACTATGTTTTCAACATGAAACCTTAATCCAGAACATGTAACATACCCAAGAACCAACAAAGCACAATATTATTCTCAAGCCACATTGAGCAACGAGACTAATCATAATAATAATAATCATATCCCACATCATTCCGCAATCATTCTAATTAATCAATCCTAAAAATCAAAGAAGCATGATATCAACATTTACTATGTTATTCAATCAATAAGGTCCCATATCAATTCACAAATTTTAATAAAGGATCCCTACATAATTCCCCACATGGATTCCCAGTACTAACATGATAAGTCTAATTTATACACAATGTCTACTATGAACAATTCATATTCACTCGATTCTAAGGTCGGACTACCTTATGGAAATGAGCAAGAGTAGAGATTCTAGACCACTTAACAGAATCCAACCAAAATACCAAACGACCTCTTGTAATTTCTTCATACCTGACATCTGTACAATCAGTGCCTACACCATGGGAATGGTGCATCGGCATCAAGAACTCGGATAGGCTGCGAAGCTCGAGTGAGTGACAATAATACAAACACTACTACAAATTTTTACTTACATGACGCATTTTATGGATCATGTTAAAAGTTTAATGATGCAAGGGTTTAGCGTCATCTTTGTAGGTGTCCTTAAAGATATTTTTAAGATGTTGAAAAAGTGTCATGTATTACTTTTAAGGACGCCTAACAAGCGACATTAAATTAAGAACTTGTGTCATCTATTACAATTTAAGACACAGAATATGTGTCATAAACATAGGAATGAGCGTCATGGTATACTAATCATGACATACGCACAGTGTCATGTATAGCTTTTGGAGATACCTAACAAGCATTATTGAATTAAAAAAGCGTGTCATCTATTTCAATTTGAGATGCAGAATATGTGTCATAAACAGAGGAATGAGCGTCATGGTATAGTAAACATGACATCTGTATAGTGTCTTATACTATAGCACTGTAGCGTCATTGAATATTACCAGTGACACACAAAGTGTGTCATAAACGGTTCAAGACATGTCCTAAAATATGTATGATGGCATATATAAGAAGACTTACATAATTCATCCAAGAAGCAAGATATTTACCTCAAATTAAACATTATTGCTTCATAAATTTGTAATTCATCCACTACCAAAGTATTACAAAAGACAATATAATGTGTAGAGTTTCCTACTAAAATAAAACTATAAGTTCACTTAATTTAAAATTTCACAAACTAGCTAATATAGTGTTTCATCTATTGGGATGAAGTCATCAACATACTCAGCCCACTCTATTCTTAATGCATCAATTTCCTGTTGAGTGTATATAGCTTTTTCTTTGAATTGCAACAAATCACAACCAAAGAGAACATGTCACGACAAGAACTAATTTCAATCATTTAACTAATAAGGAGGTGGTCAATTAGCATCAACTTGCCCAGAAAGAACAAGGGCTCTCTACTTGTATTTTTCGCTAATGTGTTTTTTTTCACTCGGTATAGAGGTAATAAAACGTCAAGCTGGACCTTATCTTGATGGTAAATAACACCAAGCTCAAATACAACATGGCTTAACAAAATCAGCTCTGAACCTATTTATTTATCACATTCAAACGTAAACTAAAGATAGACTAGCATTACAATTTTATTGAAGACAAAAAATAAATCAAGAATTAGAATCTGAACCTAGACAAGGAAAACAAAAACAAACCCATTGATGACTTGAATCAACTCAATACACGAATACCCAGGATGGTTTTGATGAGCTAAAATCCAATTGGGCATCTTTTGGAAGATTCAAGAGTTCCAATTTCGATTGTAATTAACTTTAATTAAACACTACAAATCACGCTAACAACAATCCATCTCATCATCAATAGTGTGAACATTCAAGTAATTTAGTTCAGTTATGCCGATTTCCTTCATGGGTTGCCAATGATTTGAGTAAAAACCATCGTTAGCTGTAAATTAATTTGCCTGAACTATAAATTACCTACAAAGAACTAATACTAATAAGATAGTAGCGAATACACCCGCTTAAGTGCTCTTTGTAATAGTATTACCAACCTTGGTAATAATTGAGCAGTTCGAATCATCAATGATTTCCTTCATGTATTTCATCACATAATATCCACATTCTACAGTTCCTTCTTGCAAAGGGCATTGCATATACAAATAAAAACATATAAAATGTAAGTTAGTCAAATTAATTTAAAGTCAAAACACAATGTTCCTTACCTTTACTACTTTCCAATTGATATTTTTTCGACCCTTTATTCCCTTTTGAGCTTTAAACATTTCAGTGCTCTGCACATAGAGGATAAGAACACATGAATATATTCAAATCTTGAAATGCATGAAATAAAGACAAACATATATCCAAATACTTACAATTCAACAATGTCCTTCATTCTAGGATCGATCTATATCCAATTAAGGGAGTCCATGTAATACACTAATTCCTCATAGGGGTCAATAATAGCCAACAACCAATGAAACCTACAAAACATAAATAATTGCATTCTTTATTACATAATGGTCAACTACTGATCTGTTAGGAACAAAAAATTCAAAACACATAGTACTAATAACCCTTTGTTATACGGAGCAAAAATTAATTGTCCTTTTTTGCAGTTCTGTAATCTAAGAGCCAATGCATTTGATCTTTGTTCCTTTTTGCCAGCCTTTTGAGAGATTCTGCTAGGATCTACAAATCCAAACAATCCATCAAGATTGTTCTTCTATCTATAGACATCCAAGATTTATCCATTGTAAAACAGTTATATTGATTGATATTAGAATAAAACTTATAACAAGATTGCATGAGGGCACAATATATAAACTGTTGCGAGCTAAAGATAAAAAACAAAAGCAGAGCTTATGAGGAGTTTTATCAAATGTGTGGTGTGCTATAAACACCAACTCCCACAAGAACACACAATCTAAAGATTAAAAAAAAAAAGAGGATAAAAGTAATAGTTAATCTAATTCAGAATTGGTATTAAGGGGATCACAAAGTTAAAAAAAAAAAAAAACCAATGATCAATCTCGTTATCCAACATAGCAAATGACAAGGGTAAACTACAATTTGTACAACAACTACTTTAGCAAATGACAAGGCTAAAATACAATTTGTACAACAACTACTTTAGCAAATGACAAGGCTAAACTAAAATCTGTCCAGCCACATAGCTTGGACTAATCAATACAACTTCACAAAAGAGATTAATATAGAAATTATTTTCTAGAAAACCCATAACTATTCCAACAAACTTACCTTACACAATTAGGTTTTGAGTGAAATTTGGGGGAAACAATCAATCTGGTTGATGAAGACTGTGGGCGTCCCAGAGAGAGAGAAAGAGAGGGAGAGATAGAAAGACAGTGAGTGTTCGTGATGAAGACTGTGTGATGAAGATTGGGCGTCCCAGAGAGAGAGAAGGAGAGGGGAAGATAGAAAGATGGTGAGTCTTCCACCTTGAGGAGAAAGAGAGCGTTGATATTTCATTCTCTATTTGGGAGTTGGCTAGGAATGGGTTGGGTGGTAGAGTGAATGAGTCGTGAGGGTTTAGGAAGTTTTGAGGAATTCGCAGGACGCTCTTCTTTTTTATAAATCCTTCCTATTGGTTTTTTTAGTTGCGTCATCGATTTATTTTAATAACGTTTTTAATAAAAAAATATCATTAAAAAACTTAATAAGTGTCATGAAAGCTCTATTTTGTAGTAGTGAAAGTATGTGATAATAATAATAGAATCAACAATCAATCACAGTTTATAAACCTCGAATATAAATCATTCGTAAGAGATCAATATCGAGTCTCTGAAATCTTCGAATGAGTCACCTAGACATCCAATGGCTTTTCTAAATCAAAATACAAGGTTCCCAAAACTATAGTTCACGAAAACACTAGAAACTAGGGCTAGAGTGATGTAGTTTAGCCGAAGCCTACATAAGTAACCAAACAGGAAGTGGCCCCCCAAAGTGGATTAACCAAGCAGAGCCACCCTTAAGAAAGTAACCAAGCAAGCAGTGACCTCCCCCAATGCGGATTAACCAAACAGAGTCTGAAGGGAAATCTATGAGATTCATGTATGGGATTTCTAAATGACTATCATGCATATCCAAAACAATTATGATATACGAAAGCAGCGGAAGCATTTATAACATATTATCAAAGCTATAGTCATGCAAATCCCCTTCAAGGTTCATAGGTTTATATATAATGCATCAAAACAAATTATAGAATCAAGAACAAAGTGAAGGTTAGTCTTATACCTCTTGATCTAGACTTGAGACCAAGGATAGACCACCTCCAAGCCCTTTGCTCCTTGAAATCCTTGAGCCTAGCTTCCCTCCTTGCCTCCTCCACTTTGAAAGAATGAGTGCTCCTAGGTTCTCTTCAAGTTTCCAAAGTAGGAAACCTCTAAAGATCCTCACCCACTAGTGTAGTGAGAAGGATGAAGGAATAACCAAAAGGGTGAAAGATTGTTAGCTAAAACACCTCAATGGTGCCCGGCCCTGTGATGTGTTAGAGAGCTTTTTTTCTCTTGCCCGAAATCACTTGGAGGGTAGTGAGTCATCAGCTTTTTACTTGTGTTGTCATTGAAAAGTGTTTTTTGGCTAATTGTGAGTTAGTCCCCATCACTTGACATTTTAAATCATAGGCACATGACCTATGCATTAATGGGAAGGTGCCAACTTGTCTTTGGGTTTGATGCTGGGCTTTGGGCAAATCTTCTTTTAATCGGCGTCCTTGGGCTTCTACATACTTGCCGCCCAAAGTTCAAATATTAACCCAAACAGGAGCTTCAATGAACACAGTGAGAACATTAGGACTAGCCATAGGTGCAAACAATTACAAAGCCATATGGGTCTACCTCATTGCACCATTTCTTGCGGCACCCTCTGGGGCCGGAACCTCCACGGCTGTCAAGCTGCCAGAAGATGGTGACAATATTGAAAAGTCTTCACCAAGGAGCTTCAGAAGATAATTGATCGACATTCTTATCGCGCCCGCATCAATCATCCAGAAAGCTTACATAAGGACATAATGCAGATTGAGTCACAAAACGAAGTGAGATAAAATACAACTGCATAATGATCTCTGGTCGGTACATACATGTCTAAGTGGATGCGTAACATAACATGTCTATGCAATATGCCCTTATAAACAATGTGCTAAAAAGAATATAGTTCCCTTCAGTTAAACCAACAGGTGCATAATTAACAATCCAAGTTCAAACAAAAAGTTTCATACAAGAGTCAAAGTAAGCTAAAATTTGACAGTGGCGTTCCGAAATGAAATCCAGCAGAAACGCTTCACCATAGTTCGTCAGGTAAACCATTTGGTATCACAGTACAATATATATATCCTCCCATCAAGTTTGCGAACAAACTTATGAGACGGTAGCCTAGGAGAGTTAGAATTGTGTTTACTTCTTTCTTCATATATAGCTTACGGGCAGTACAAATATCACACAAAAGAAGACACATCATAACTTGGCAACTAATTTTGTTTCAAGCACACCGTACCAAAACTCTTCTCCGCTATATCTAACTATTGATTCTTCGCAAAGGAAAAAAATTGTGTAAAACCAAGCCAGTACGTCTGTATACAGTGATTCCATCTCACTTGACAATCATCCAAGCAGCTACACAAGTTGATCTTTCATAAATTGAAAAGTGAACAAGCAGTTGACGGTACATATATATTGCCAAGTTGAAATAACTCGCCAAACCCTAGGAGTTTCTCCGTAAATTGTTTAAAATAATCCAACTTTTGTTGTTTTGGGTATTTTATAGGCCGAATATGTGTTGGCCCATCGCAAAGTGGAACTGTCCATGTAAAATGTGAAGAATCCTTTACAAAGAGCATGTGAAACTCGTTTAAATTGGAAGTAGTTTATGGCAACATTTAGCATCTCGGACTATACTGACTATTTCAGTCGGACATGATAAATAGTCGTCAAATAGTACTTACTAAATTAGTCGGACTTTTGGTGCAATATCAGACTAATGAGTATTATTTATACTGTGTTTGATACTATACTGGATAAGAGGAATTCAAAATAATAAGAGAAAAAATGATGATTAACGAAAAAGAGCCAACAATACCAAAACCTTGAATCGAATGCTTTTGTGGAAGGAAGACAAATTCAAGACAATATCATCATTGCCCATGAAGTCTTTCATTTTCTTAAGCTCAGGAAGGCAAAGCTAAAGTATGTGCTGGGAATTAAATTTGATATGAATAAGGCATATGATCAGGTGGAATGGGATTTTCTTGAGACTGTCATGATGGAGATGGGCTTTGATAGAAATTGGGTGAGTTTGGTGATTGATAGGATTTTCTCACCAACGAAAAGGAAGTCAAAATCACACAAAATACTTGTAAGAATACAAGGATGTTGTAGTATAGATGCTCATGCAAGATCGTTTCTCCACAATGACTATTTGGATAACTTCTATAAACCTATTCAATTACTTAAAACTAAACACTGAGAAAATAGATTTTGAATTTGGGTAAAATAAAAAATGAATTTTAATTAAAAACCAATAGTAATTTTACCCTAATTGATATGATAAAAGAAAAGAGTTTTAAATACCAATTTATAAAAGCACTAGAGTTCCGCTATCACCTAGTAATCCTATGCATTTTTACCAATTACTTATGATCTACACATGACACTTTGAAGGTTAGGTTTTCCCAATTTATATTCTACTTGGAACCTTTAACATAGAACGAATATCTAACATGTAATCCGTCCGGACGTTCGGATCAAATCGAAACATGAAAGACTCAATATGCTTTATGAAAACCCTTTGAAAACCTATGCAACCCTTAAAACGTGGTGTTCATCTTAAGTGAAATTATAATTATTAATCACAAGAAACCAGCGTCAATTTCAAGGAACTTTCTAACCAAAATTGCATCAAATTACTTTTCTAAATATCCTAATGGTGGGCAAGCATTAAGACAATTAGATAGTTTAAATTAGTGATCAATAATTCAAAGCATGCATGCAATCAATCATAAGCAATTAAATAAAAATTACATATTCATGCTAAGGCTCAAGGCTTAGTCCTATCAAAACGGATTAGATACGCATATTCATAATTAAAAGCATAGAGAATATTATTATGAAGAAAAGGAATGAAATCACCTTGAAGTAGAAAATCTCCAAGAACCCTAACAATTTTCCCTATCTCCAAAATTGCATAAAAGAAAATGTAGCCTAAAACTGAGAACGGCAAAGCAATATATGTTGCTATGCCATCGCAAAAACGCTAAAATGTAGTCTTTTATTCTAACTAGAAAACTAAATAATAATAAAATATCTTAGGAAATAAAGAGATTCTGGTGAGTAAATGTCCAGCCACGTTTTAGCCTCAAATATCCTCCAAATCCGGCTAATGATAGCTTGTTTTGAAGATCAGGACATTCTGCACACATCTCCAGACGACCACGAACCCATCATAGGTCATCTTGGGCTCCAAAAACGCAATTCAACCCTAAAACGTCACTTTTCCAGCACCGTGCACTGCACCTTTATTTTATCGTAAAAAAATAACCGCTTGGTGAAAAAATATGATATTTTAACACGATCAAGATAAGTGACTCACAAACATCTTACTGGAATTACTCCAAAATTCTTCCATTTGGTCATGTTTTGCTCCAGAGGAAGTTGAAAGTCCTATATTGAAAATACAATTCAAAGTATCAAAATTCTTCCAAAATATTAACCAAAATATACTAAGAATAAGGCTAAATACATGATATGAAATCGACTCATCAATGATGAATTGTGTTACGACGGTGGAGTTTTCGGTTTAATTAATGCGCATCCGGGAAGGAGATTTAAACCGACAAGGGGATTGAGGCAAGGTGACCCACTTTCACCATACTTATTTCTTATTGTCAGTGAGGTTTTATCTCTTCTAATTAGAAATGCTACTGAAATGGGATATGTGGAAGGAATCCGGATCAGTGCTAATGGACCATGCCTCCCTCATCTTTTATTTGCATATGATACTTTGATTTTCCTAAAGGCCACAAGAAACAACAATCAAAACATTGTAAATTTACTCAATGCCTACTGTCATGCATCTAGCCAGGAGATCAGTTTGCAAAAGTCAGTTGTCTATTTTCATGCTAACACACTAGTTGAAGTTTGCCAGGATCTTTGTAGAATATTGATTATGCCACAAGTGGAGGACCCAGGGAGATATCTTGGAATTTCGACAGATTGGGGAAGTTCAAAAAAAGAGGTGTTGGCCTATGTTAAAGATCGTGTTCCAAGGAAAATACAAGGGTGGAAACAACAGTTCCTTTTTTTGGCTGAACGTAAGGTGTTGATTGCTCAAGCGGTGCCAACATACCCAATGAATATATGCAAATTCCCGGATACCTTATGTAATGAGATTGATGCTACTCTTGCTAGATTTTGGTGAGGGCAAAGCAAAAACGACAGAAAAATTCACTAGATTAGTTGGGAAACTATGGGTTATTCAAAAAGTGAAGGGGGGGGGAATGGGATTCAGAAATATGAAAGAGTTTAATATTGCTTTCCTTGCCAAGCAATGCTAATGATTAATCCATGATCTGAATTCTCTGTGGCCCCAGGTATTAAAGGAGTGATACTTTCCTCATGTCTCATTTTTGGAAGCCAAGAAGGGTGGGCGTGCTTCCTGGGTTTGGTCCAGCTTGCTTGAAGGAAGGGAATTGCTGTTAATGGGTGTGCACTGGCAAGTTATGAGTGGAAATCAAATAAAATTTTGGGTTGATAAATGGGTTCTGAGTATTAATTGCGGTCACTCAATTCCTCTCAATAAAGTAGATGTGGATAGAGAAATGCTTGTTTCCTCGGTTATTAGCACGGTGGATAGAATTTGGGAATTGAACCCAATTTGTGATTTGACCTTTGATGATGATTGTATAGTAGTCTCTAATATACATGTGGGTGATTCCATGAGGAATGATAAGTTCATTTGGCCTACAGATAGGAGGGGGATTTACTCTATCAGATCGGGTTATAGATGGCTTCGAAACAATAATGGCAGAAGACGGAATTTGCGACCCTCATCTTCAAGGCATATTGATCAAGCGGTGTGGAAAGGGATTTGGGGCCTCGAGGCTCCTCATAAAATTCAAAACTTCTTATGGAAAGGAATCAAAGGTGCTATTGCTAGGGAATTGAACCTTTCTAAAAGAAGGTGTGTTACTTCACCCATTTGTCCAACTTGCAATAAGTACGAGGAATTTGTAGAACATTTTCTGTTTTTTTGTCCTTGGGTTGAGTTGGTTTGGTTTGGAGGCCCACTGAATTATAAAGTTGATAGGAATTTTGTTACTACTTTTGATGCTTGGCTTTTAAAAATGTTCAAGGAGAATTTCAGGGATAAGGTGGAAAAGGCGAGAATTTGAACACTATTGGCTTTCACATGTTGGCACATCTGGAAAACCTGATGTAAGTTCATTTTTAATCATAAACCTCATTCTCCTATGCAAACTGTTCAGGCCATTCAATGTGCTTATGCTTTGTTTATGAAGGTAAAGGAAGCAAGGTCAACCCAACGGGAAGCAAGGCAAATAGTTTAGCGGGACCGGCCCTGGTCTCTACCCCCTTCCCAAATGCTAAAAATTAATGTTGATGAGAGTTGGAAAGCGGGGGCTTCAAAAAGTTATGTAGGTATTGTTGTGAGAGACTCAAGGAAAATGTGTTTAAAAGTTAGAAGAAAGGAAATGCATGCCTCTAGTGCATCTGTGGTTGATTGCAAACAAATAATATTGTACTTAAATGGAGGTACTAAAAACTGCAACTGAGAGATATATCCTATTTAAGTCGCATACTGCAAATAGGGTGTCTTTTTCAAAATTGCATATGGTACTGGGTGCCAAGATCAGCGAATGAAGCGGCGAACTTTATCGCTAGATTTAGTGAAGTGGAGATGAGCAATTCTGTTTAGTTGTTAGACCCCCATCTTCGATGGT